AACCTCACATTTGTATAACAAAAATAAAAGCTTTTCTTTAACCCACATCTTTACAAACTCATCTCCACACATTTTCTCATAAATAAAAATATCTTTAGCATATGCACCTTTTGAACAATACAAACAAGTTTACAGTGATTGTAACAAACATATAAGCAAATATTCTGTATTGGAAGAAGTTTAACCATATTCTTTAGTTACATTTCCATAATAAAATAAAATCTTCCATAGATGATAAAAAGTCAATAGTCAAACTTAAGGATATTAAACACTGCAAGGGAAATAAACATTAATAGAAATAATAACTATAATGATTAGAACACTAATAATAATCAATAAGAACTGTCTGATTAACAAAATACTTGTTATCTTAATACAAATGCCAGATTCCACAAACAAATGCACTGGAAAGTAAGGGAAATTTCTTAAAATATATAAATACAAAAAATAAATAAATAAAATAAATAAAATAATTAATTAATTTATAAAAACCCTTAGACTCCAGCTGCCACCTGTCGTTGTATTCTTTGCAAAATGCGATGGTCTAACACCTTTTGTCTAAACACTGTTGCCAAACCAGACACTAATCCAACGACCCCCATGACTGTCTCAAAGATCCAAAAGTGCCGTTCTTCCAACCACACCACACGGTCACATCTGCAAAGAAAAGCACCTAGTTAATCTCTGTAAATAATATGAAATAATACTGTAATGTTGTATCTAGAGTTAACTTTAAATTACCCACTAAAATAAAGATATCTTTTCCATTGTACAGAAACTAAATATAGCCGTATATAAAATTGCTGGATTTTATTTTTTTTTCATAAAAGTTACTTTTAAATTGGAGAACAACTAAGTTACAATTCCATTTGGCTCTCTTCCTACAACATAAGCATTGATATTAATTAAAATAAGCAATATACTTTATTCTTTCTTTCCTTTATTCTTTCTTCTTATCTTTTTTTTTACTTCTCTTACCCATCAATTTAATAATGTTAAATATAATAAATTTAAACATTCAATAATCAAAAAATGTAAACTTTACTATTCAATTATGTAATTTTGATAATCTAATAACGTAGATTTAGCAATGCAATTATGTAACTTTAATAATTTAATAATGTAAATTTAATAATATGTTTTCTTCATTCAACATTTCAATAATGGATCTTAATCTAATAATGTAAATTGAATAATTTAACAATTTTGCAATTCAATAATGTTTAAACAAAAATCAAAGCTAACTGAGGGCTTGCAATGTTCACAATCCTTTTTCTGCTATGCAAAATGTTATGAGCATTAATGTACTGAAAAATGTATATTCTTTTCAGAGGTTTCTTTCGTTTCATCAGAATGTATTATATCATACCTATGGATATTTATACTTATCATAAATCATATAGATGTGCAGAAATAAGCAAATGTACCACATATGTAATGCAGAAAACAAAGCTATAACATGCTGTGTATAACAAAGTAATAAATGCAGTTACTTACTTTCTGAAAACCTCTCCAGTCTTTTTGCATTTTATTTTTTGCCGATAGCTTGCTGACCCACACACCGATGGACTTCCACTTTTTGTTTCAAGGTCTGCAATACAATTTATCATATACACAGGATAACAATACATTTTCCAGAAATTTACTGGTAGTAAATGCAATATACAACATCCTGATATAACAAACATACAAGTCTTAGGGACAAATTATCTGAATATATAAGTCATCAGCACAAAAATTCATCTTTCTTTGAATCAGTGTTATTATTCTTAATATTTTACTTTTGTTATTACAGTAAAAAACATTACAATAACCTATTGGATTAACTATTAGTTTTTAACCGTTATTTCCTCTATTTGTATAAAAAACATAAGTATAAAATACAACTAGAGATCTTACCTGAACATGGCTGACACTCCTCAAGCTCACTAAACTCTTCATGCAGGTAACACATATCTCGCTGCGTCATATTGGGGTGAGCAGTGGTGTGGGTGTGGGGACGCGTGTCATTAGGAGCAAGCTCATTCTCAATAATCAAAACAAGCACTGACAAACTGTCAAAATAGAATGATAAAAAAAAGTTATTGTAATCTCAAGTAATGATGTATAGGGTATATATAGGGTACATAATTTGCCAAATATACTCCATAGCCTCTTAGGTTATGTCAAAATATCAACTATTAATCTAGAGGCCATGATGTATAGCTGAACCACAGGACGACTATGGAAAATATGAATAACACTGCAGAAATGATATCTACTATCCTATCAATCACAAAATAAAACTTGAAAATGGAAAATTCACAAAATGTCATAATAACTATTATTATTTCAATTTATTACAACTTCAAATGGAGACTGAGAACCCTTTTTATTCATTTATTTATTTATTTATTTATTTATTTTTATTTATCTTTTATTATTTTTTTTTTTTTTGACATACATGTTCACATCAACAGACGAGACCTTTTAAGCTAATACCTGCTTCATCAGGAAATCT